TCATGAAACAATAATAGCCAAAAGAGGAAAAGTTTTAAGAAATTACAGGTTCAAGCACGAGTTGAAAATGACTTTTCTTTTTAATTTTTACGCGAAAAAGAGGAGGTTGAAACATTAGGGAAAAAAATGATGAGGCAAGCAATCATACCTGGCAACTTCAAAAGAAGATATAAAAGAAGCTACTACGATTCTGGCGTCTTGATTTACTAATTCACTGTTATCACGTGTGTACCCTTCAATCGACTGGTGATGTCTAAACTCGATGTAGTTTACCGGGCACGTCGTTTCTTTCAATTTTGGCTCATTTTCCTGAGCCAAAATTATCAGTTACGCTCAGAATAATATAATTTCAACTGAAGCTGAGATCGCACACTTCCTCTGGAGAAGAAAAGATTCTCTATCTTCGAGAATTTCCTCAAAACATCTGGAACAACAACAAAGATCCTCAGATACAGCTGACTAGCATGCGTTTTACTGCAAATTGTGAGAACGTCGTCCCCAGGTTCCAGACCTCGCCAATTCTTCCGTTTCCTCCCCACCCCTTGGCTGGTCCCTTAATCTCTTTGAAGAAACTCTTCCTCAGCCAGTGCTGAAGAGTTTTATTACAGTTTTTATTACAACGAGGGGCTAGAAAATAAACTAACAAGAGCTCCGCTTTTAGGCTTGCCTTAATCTATATATCATGTGGTATGTACTGAGCATGAGTAAATATTAATTCTCCATTGACTCCATACTTGAATTACTTACGCCATTGGGGGACCATACCGCTGACAAGGAACCAAAATGACCCTGGGCTCGAAATTCAGTGTGTTTGCCAGATGACATGGGATCATGCAGAAACCAATGAGAAGACTGAGTCGCAGTTTTGAAGAATTAGGTGACAGAAAATACCTTTTCTCTGTGGTAAGTTAAAGCAATTCCACCGGATCAGATCCTTCTCGCCTTGTTTGAACCGTGCAGTTTAAGTTTGCGGTCAGTTCATTCGATGTTTAGATGTGTAATCAAGTTCAGGGCCTAGTTGTTCGAAGGCCGATCAGCGCCAATCCAGGGTTAAAATTGAATCCAGGTTTCTTTGTTTCTATATTCAGGAACCCTTTTTCAAATACTGATTTCTTCTTTCCTTTTCAAAGAGTCCGGTTATAGCATTGTAGACAAAACACCTAAGCTGAATTTTTTAAAGCTTTCAGGTCTGAAATAAAATTTCACACTAACCCTGGGTTATATTAAATTGAAATCGTTCACCATATTCTGCAAAAATAGTTTCGTTCTTTGGAAACAGTTGACGAAATCTTAAAATTACTGATAAGCTTTACCCCTTAAAATTTCCGGAGCAACTGCAGAATACCTGGCCACTCATATACATGTCACTGAATAACAATGGCGTCTTTAATGAAGCTAAAGTCGATGTAGAATCGATTCAGAAACTACGATCAAGAGTCCTCGATTGAAATATACTGTACATTCGATCGAACATGTAATCAACTGCACTTATTCACTTGTAGTTGTAAGCTTCTACGGAAGAACAATTTGGCTATAACTTTGTTGTGAAGTTATTATTTATAAAACTCTCGAAAGAGTTTAGAACGTCAAGACCATTCATAGTGAAGGGCTAAAATGTAGTTAAAAACCTCTCCTAATTTTTTCTCATTTAAAATGACTTCTGAAATATTCCATAAGTATTCTTGAAGTTTAATAACTAATATGTGTATAGCTATGATAATTATAGCATTTCATTTTTCAAGTTTCTTAGAACTTGTTAACTATTTCTCTTTCTGCCTTTTTTGTTTGCCCCTTGCTTGGTTATTTCTTTCTGTTTAGACCAAAGCCTGTAGTCATTTTATATGGTAACTTGGAACTAAATTTTATGCATGACTTTTTTTTTTCAGAATTCATTACCTGGAAAAAGATAACAAGATATTAAAATTATAATGGATAAAGGTAAGTAACTACAGAAAAATTGATATTAAATTAAAGGCATCCCAAAAAAGTCAGTTAGACTTGATCAGTGCTCATTTTTGGTGAATAGACACAAGGTAATTGCCCAACCTGTCCTTCAGTTTTTTTTTGCCACACCAGATTGTTTTGCTAACATAACTGCTACACCCTCAAAGTTGCAGCTGACCATCTTTTCCTTCTGATGTTTAACATTGACTCCCACTCTGTCTAGGCCCTTGTCCATTGCTTCTAGCACACCTAAAAACAGTTGAATAATTATCTAGGTCTTGGGAGGAGAGGAGTATCTTTAACTGCTGCTGTGTTACAAAGAAAAAAATTTTTTTTTTCAATCCCCTTTGTAATAAATTTTGCTTTGAAATGTGGAAAGAGAAAACTTGGAATCATGAAATGTAATATATTTTGTGGTTAGATTTAAGACACTTTTAACCACTAACCTTTGGCATCAGCACTTAAAGCATCAACCAAGTCAGCAAACTGAGTCTTTGGTAATACCTCTGGTTCAGTGTATCTCACAAAAACAGATTCTTGCTGGATGATCCTTGAATCTGTGCTCCCATCTGCCAAGACTGAAAAGAACCTTGCTCCTTGCAGCTCTTTTCTGATTATGTTCTGTTCAGTATTTGGCATCTTTTTCTGTTTTCATTTTTTTTTAACCACTTTAAATTTTTCTTAAATCTGGTGTATAATAAAAACAATTAAATTTTAAAGAAAATGTATGGTGGTCAGTAGGAAGAATTACTAATCCTGGGTCTTCAATTTTAAAGGGTTAACTTCTTTGAACAAGTAAATAAGGTATTTGAAACTCAAGCACAAAATCCTGTACAAGCCTAATCTTGTTCTCTTGCCATTCAATGATTTTAGCTTGCTACATGGTGATGTTGATGTTGATGTTACATGTATTTACCAGAAAGAAGAACAAAGAATAACTAAAACTACCACTGTGTGGTGTACACTCTGCATGCTGACTGCATGGTGCAAAAACCATTGACAGAGAAATCATAGTTTCCATGTTTAAACAATTGTTTTCATTTTAGGCCTGGAAACTTCCAAGATTAGCTCCAGTGGTGATCCAACAGGGAGAACATTACATCCTGCAACAGGGCAAACTGTAGCAAAGATACTGGTCACAGATCTATGCACAGAGTCTCAGTCAAATGATATTTCAGAAGTGCAGGTATGTATATATCATGTTTGAATAATATACAATCCAAACCTTTCTACACTTAGCCAAGCCAGATTCTATTGTCTTCCATTCACACTTCCCTTTTTGTCTCACAATATTACACAATTATCTTTGTTTGCACAGTTTTCTTCTGCTTGCAATTGTAGACAAACCTCTCAGTGCCCTGCCTTAAAAAAAGACCATATTTTTTGACTTAACATGTTAACCAAAAAGTCATCAATTTGATCTACATGTGTTATTGACCAGCATGCTATTTAAACAACAGTTGAGAAGAACTGCTGTTTTGGTATTTGTCCAAAAATATTTGATGACTATAGCTAGTTCAGCAGAAAGTTGTTTGAAATTGTCTTTAGTAACCAACTCACATGCACCCAGACTTTCTACATGGTGAATTAATTAGCAGAACAAACAAAACAAGCAGAAAAAGAAAGCTGAAACAGAATTTGGAAAAAAAAAGAAGTTGAATACTTCAATACTAAATTAAAAACTGATTTTACATGCTATAAATTTGTATTTTTGTTCTGTAAATTTGACTTGGATGTGACAAAATGTACCTAGCAATACACAACAGAATAACTAGAGCTGACTGGCCGGTGCTGGGTCTTATTGAAAGCGCTGCCTATTTTATTTATTTATTGGACATTTAACTACCAATTAACTTATCTGTTATTAATTGATTATTATTATTTATTATTGATTATTGATGATTTTCTTAGATCTTTATTTATGTATTTATTATGGTTGCTATAGGCATTGATAGAAGAAAATAAAGTCCTGAAAGCCCAGTTCAGGGAATTGAAGAAGGATTCAGAAGTATGTATCTTAATGAATATTACAAGATAATTTGTATTAACTTAGTAAATAATATAAATTGACCACCGTAAAGAGTTTCTAAGATGATGTTCATCAGCTAAACCAGTAAATAAAACAATATTTTATTTACTTTCAATAGGATTACATTTTTCCCCACACTGGTCGACTCTAGCTGGGAACAATTTTTTGATGGTTAAAAGTGTTTTACTCTGTCTCATGGGAAGGTGGATTGCTAACATACATCACATTCCAAATCCCTTCAGGTGTTTATTAATTTCCGGAGTGTTTTTTTACGATTATTTGGCGCAAAAGTCCTTAAAGTAAGACTATTAATTGCAAATGGTATCTCTTACGATTAATAGTCTGAAAGCGTCTTCTATCACGATTAATAATCCTGTTAAGTACAACTATTAATCGCGTACAAACTCATTAATAGTCGTGTTTAACTGGCTTTTAGACTTAATAGTCGTACATCGCACGGTTAATAATTGCATCTGACAGCAAATGTCCTTATTCATCGCGAGAAAACATACTCTTCTGCAAAGAAAATTCAAGCTCAACTTTTTTTTTGAACGGCCACCATTACGACCAAAAATTCAGAATTTAGTATTTCTTCGCACATGGCTTTTTAGGCAATAAATGTCACATATTTGAAGTTTTCACGGGTTCAAGTTCTCAGTGAACTTCGATTCATTTCTGTTCAAAAGGTGTGTTTACCGACTACATTTTCTTTGTTTTTCGTTCGTCCACTAAGTACAGTGCATTTTCTGTCAATCGCCTCATTAAAAATCAGTAATCTGTCAACTCATGTATCCCCATCACCATTTCTATTATCTTCGACCACAATTTTACTTCCCTAGTCTCGATAATCATGAATGTGGTGAAGACACCTTAGAGATCGAACACATCGCCAGAAGAAAGAGCTTCTATGATGATCAATTGCAAAACTTGCTGTCAAACCTTGACCAATCACAGAGTGCATTTTGCTTTCTACCTAAACCATGTCTAAAGTATGAGAAGCGATGGACAATACTCTTCGTTCATGCTCATTACCTGTAAGTCACTCCACATGACTTGTAGTGGATTAGTGTATGGAAGTAGGTATCGATCAGTATTCTGACCTTAAACGATGCCGAATATTTTAATAGTGTTACCGTCAGGAGATGGAAAAGAAATTACAGGAGAAAGAGAAAGAATTATCAAGGCTAAACCTAAGAATCACAAGAGAAATCATGGACATGAATATAGGTAAGTAACTACAGATAAATATAAAAAATGGTCATTAATAAGTAATTATAGTTTGTAGAGAAAGATGCTTTTTGTCTTGTTATGAGCGTGGAACAAAGAAAAATTCTGTTTCTATTACTTAACAATAGTTGCCATTGCAGACGTGTTACCTGGAATTATGGGAAACCAAGAAAATATTATGGCAATAGGGAATACAGGACCCAAAACTCCATCAGAGACAAACTCTTACAACAATTCAGTAGTGCAGGTATGTAACTTTTATGTTTAAAGATCAATAAAACCTTCATCAATGTATACATCATGAAATATTTGGAGCTCATGGAGGCAAATGATAACCAAAGACTTGAGAACAAATTTTGAGAAGAATCAGGGGTATTTTAGTAGTGCTTCTTTTAGTCTATGTTAAATAGTTATCAACCATTATTTAAAGGTGGTCGTCTTTCCAAGAAAAATTGGAAAGGCAAAACATTGGAATGCGCACAAGTTATTTACAAAAAAGTATGAACTGAATTCTTTAACCTGCCAAAGTGTGAATAGCAAATTACAACATGTCAACATAAATGACTCCTGAAGGGTTTCTTGTGGGAAAACATCCTGTTCCTTGAATTCCAAAATCTCCTGATTTTGGTTGAATGTGGGGATTATTGCTCTCTGTCTGCATTTAAAACTAGAATGCAAATGGAGAAAGATAAAAAGGAGAAGAGTCCATAAGTGAAAATATAAAAAGAAAGCTAGCTGTCAGTACAAGAGGTTAAGAAATTTGAGGCGGAATGGCGACAGAATCTCACCTAAACAGATAAAGGCTTGAGGTTTAGGCAATCTTTGCTGCTAGCACTCGATCAGCAACCATGAATTTTTTGCCATGACATGCTTAAGCCGTTTTAAGTTGAAAAAAAAAATAGTTGGAATCAAAACTGCTGTTTAGCAGAATTAAAGAGAATTAAGGTTTGTCTCAGGTAACATAATGTTGCAACAACTTCATTCATGAATTGATTTATTTATTCAGACAGCTGTTTGTTTTTTCTCATTGTTACATGTATTAATCTTTTTTATGGCCCTTATTTTAGTAGGAACATATTTAGATATGAGCCTATGAAGTTGAGCTGATCAATTTTAATTGTTACATGGCTGCATGCATGTTTTTCTGCTGAAATTTGCATGTAATTTTTTGATTGCGAGCCATGTGTACTTCACTGAAAGGGCAACTGGACATCTCAGTTGGAGACTTGTGAGAAGGAATATCACATGTGCAAACCCATGCCCCCTTAAGATGTTTGTGGAACTGTTACATTAAGTTATATAGTCAACATCGGTTTATTTAGAACCTTACCATACATATGACTGGATCCTTAAGTTTTCATTTTAAGTGCTTTGTGAATGTGAGGGAAATCATGTGGAACCACGCAATAAGTGAAGAATTAAAGAAAGCTAAGGCAGAGATGGCAAGAAGAATAGCTGAAGAGGAGATGGGTATAGGTAAGTAACTACAGATAAATATAAAAAAAAAATGGTCAGACCTTTTGATAGTGAGATGGAATACACAGACTTTAAGATGGTACAATTGCAATGTCTACAAGAAAAAAAGTTTCATTGTTGCACATGCTCATTTTTTTGTCTTGGGAACCCTTGAGGCTCAGGAAAACAAAATCAACTGTTTCCCACAGGAGCAGGCATTAAGTGTATGATATTAAATACCACCAAAAGATCAAAGACCACCTGAGACTGTGGCAAGATTCCACACTTGCACATAGTGCAAAAATCATTAATAAAGTTATAGTTTCTATAGAGAAAGATGCTTTTCATTATGTCACAAGCATGGGACAAAAAAAATTGTTTTTTACTTAACAATAGTTGTCATTGTAGACATGTTACCTGAAATTATTGGGAACCAAGAAAATATTATGGCAACAGGGAATACAGGACCAAAAATTCTATCAGAGAGAAGCTCCCACAATGATTCAGCAGTTCAGGTAGTTCAGGTAAATAACTTTTATGTTTAAATTTGGTCAATAAAACCTTCATCAATGTAAACATTATGAAATATTTGGAGCTCATGGAGGCAAATGATAACCAAAGACATGAGAACAAATTTTGAGAAGAATCAGGGGTATTTTAGTAGTGCTTCTTTTAGTCTATGTTAAATGGTTATCAACCACAATTTTAAGGTGGTCTGTGATCTTTGAACATCAGTGATGATTGTAAATGTAGCCTTTATCTTAAGGGTATAGTAGACTGTCAAGGGCCAATTTTTTAAACTTGTTTTTCTTGTCAAACTAAGCATTATTATTTTAATGAGGGTTTTCAAGAAAAGCAAAAAATTGAAATGCATGCAAGTCATTTACAAATAAGTATGAACTGAATGCTTTCACCCACCAAAGTGTGAATAGCCAATTACAACATGTCAGCATAAATGACTCCTGAAGGGTTTCTTGTGGAAAACATCCTGTTCCTTGAATTTCCATTGCGTAAAAACCTCCTGATTTTGGTTGAACATGGAGATCATTACTATCCGTCTACATTTAAAACAAAAATATGAATGGAGAGAGACAAAAGGAGAGGAGTCTATTGGTGGAAGTAAAAAAGAAAGCTGGCTGTCAGCACAAGAGGTCACTGAAATAGATAAAGGCTCGAGGTTTAGGCAATCCTCTCTGCTAGCACTTGATCATCAATCATGATTTTTTTGTCACGGCATGCTAAAGCCACTTGTAAGTTGAAAAAAAAAAGAGTTGAAATCAAAACTGCTGTTTAGCAGAATTGAACAAAACGTCTCTCTCAGGTAACTGTTAGATAGTTACCCTCAAAATAATTATGTTTTTGCTGAGGGTCTCCTGAGACTCTGCAGGATGCTTCTGTGTTTTTATCAGTGGTTGGCATTTGGAGTGTTGAAAAAACTTGAAGTGGTCACCCAAAAGTTTGAATTGCTGGGAAAACTCTAGAAGCACCAATAAAATGCTTGGTTTTTACGCGCATGAGCATTCTTTGAATGAATTAATAGGATATGTGACATGTGGGGGCATTCCATTTCTCAAAATGGATCTCCTGCATTAGCCTCCACAGTGTTGTGTATTGGTAGAATTTTCATCAGCGAACTTGACAGATTAATTGCAAACCAGCCAATAAAAATCCTCATGGTTTTGAAGACCATCCCCACGGGATTAGGACTGTGAGGAAGTTTTAATTTTTGCAGTCAGATTTGATATGTGATTAATTTTCTTAAAGAAACATCTTCCATTTCAAATTGTTGCACCCAGTTCGGTTTACCACTGAATCAAGCTAAAACAATATAATTTTTGATGAATAGTGCATTTCATAGCCTTTTGATATATATATATATATATATATATATATAGTGCATGGTGGTTATGCTTCAAATTGCATGCCAAGAAATGTTTTTGTTAAGGACACCTGTGAAGATCTGTTGTGTCCAAATAAATTCACAGCCCAGCATTGAAGTCTTTTTCACAAACACTCATTGAAAGTAAGATAGTAGCTATTAGAAATATTTTGGCTGGACTTATCTTTTCAGGCCATTTGCCTGGGAACTGAGCCTCAAGAGCTGAATAATTCATCAGGTAATGGTAATTAAGTAACTACAGATAGATAAGATACTGCAAAGAAGTGTTAAAGTATTTGGTATTACAATAGCAAGGAAGAATGCCAAATAGTGTTCCCTTTTTGTGTTGTGTGGGTTCCTAGGAAAATTCATAGCAACACCAGGATTGTTCCTTTTAACCCTTTAATTTATAGAGGTGATTGCTTGAAATTTAACTTCTCCCTACTATTCCAATATGTTTTCTCCCAAGCAGGCTCTGAGAAAAGATAAGTCTATCAGCCAGAGGGTGTTATCCTGATACAAAACCAAATTCTTATAATTCAATCTAAAGGAAATGTGTGGTCATCAGTAGAGAGAATCTGCTATATGGATTTTGTATAACTGAAGCTGCTACTCTGTGATGTACACTCCTAGTGACTGCATTAAATGCAAGAATCATTAAACTGATATAGTTTCCTTGTTTTAACAATTGTTTTCATTGTAGACCAGGCACCTTCTATGCCTACCAACTTGGAAATGTTTTCCATGGTGACAAGGCGAACAGTAGCTCAACAGAAGGAAACTTTGTATAAGATTTCAGAACAGCAAGTATACAAATATCTTGTTTTATTATATAACTGCACTAAGTGTAGTACGAATAACGCACAAAAAAAGTACAAACATCACAAGATGTTTGGACAGATGGTTATTTTGTATTGTGAAAAACCCGTTTAACTGGTCAGCTATGTGTGAAAAACCTGTTTAACTGGTCAGCTATGTGTGCCTTGTTTCTCTCTTTGCTTTGTTTTCTACACTTGATAAGAAATATGCATAAAATAAACCAGTTAAATAATACATAACTGATTAGAAGTTTTGGACTGTAGTATTGGTGGGCATTTTATATTACTCGTTTTATATTACTCGTGATCTTTGAACATCAGTAATGATTGTAAATGTAAGTAGCCTTTATCTGAACAATACAGTAGACCTTCAAGGGCAACTGGACATTTCAGTCATAGACTTGCGAGGAGAAGTATCACGTGTGAAAACCGAAGACCCCTTAAGATGTTGGTGGAATGTTACATTTAGTTATATAGTAATTATAACTGGATCCTTAAGTTCTCATTTTAAGTGTGTTGCGAATGAGTGGTCATACTACTTCATTGGGCACCTAAAACAGCACTCTCAAGATTCAGAGTATTATTCAAACACAGAGTTAATTACAAATCAATGTAAATGAAGTAGCAATAGAACTTGCTAATGGAATTTTATTTTGCCACAATAACTTATGATTTACTTTTCTGCAGAAAGGAATGGGAATGAGAAAGAAGGTGCCAGAAGAAAATGACTATTTACCATGGATACCAATCGTATGTTAACTAATTATTTTTGTAGTTGGTTTTTGCAATGATGCTTCATTCGATTTACCCATCAAAACCATAAGATTTTGAACTTGAAATTTCAGACAATCATTTTGGATGAGGAAGTCCTTACCTTTATGAACGCTACAAATAGTAACGTGCTGGCTTAACCAAAGAATAAATAAAACAATCTTTTAACTTGCAATAGGGTGGCGGGTTAATATTTCCCCCCCACTAGTGGACTCCAGCTGGGAGTATTTTTTTACAGATAAAAATGTTTTACTCTGTGTCAGCAGAGGTGGATTGTGAACATAAATCCCACATCCCTCCAGGCTTTCGATTGCAATTGTACAACTGTTACATTTCAGAAGAGGGAAAAGAAAGAAGATGAATTGTCGAGCCAGAACTGGAAAGTAGAGTTCCTCGGCACCGAAGTTGCTGTACAGAAACCACGCAAATGTGATCATGTCACGCGTCTCCTTAATGCCTGGAGAGTTAACCTAGAGATAGACGACGTCATGCTTGAGATCGGACCTTCAAGACTAACCGTTGGTGACCTATGGACACTTCTTCCTCCGCTTGAGGCCGAGCAATGCTCCTTGGTGACGAGCTCTATAAGGAACTTTGTCGGGGGTTGGCTCGTAGACAAGGTAGCATGTTCATAAAGCAATCTGCGTTATAAAATATTATTATGTATAACCTACAATCAAGAACGATCGCCTTATAGGACTTTGTCTCATGTTTATATATCTTCCATTACACCAGGTTGTGGAAGCTGTGCTATGGAAATTCACCCTACAGTATGACGGCCTGTTTTGCGCAGACAGCACTTTGGCTGAAATTGTTGAAAAAGGTCTTAGTACGAGTTCGCTGTGGTCAGGAGAAAGCTTCTCAAATATTACCAGGATATTTGTTCCGATCATGGCACGTAGAATTCACTGGACTCTGTTGGTAGGTTTTCTTTTTAACTTAATAGAATTGGTTTGCCGAAAGACATAACCAATTTATAGCAAATGCAATCGATGAAACTGAGTATATGATTAATTTGAGGTGAAACCAAGAACCCGGACTTCTTGTTTTAAAGGTCTTGGACAAATCAAAAGCGGCCAGGTACTACTTTGACCCTTTGGCGGGAGATTTTCAACGAGAAATTAGTCCTTTAACAGATCCTCCTCTCGCATCACGCATAAATAAGATAAGGTAAGACCAAGTACTGTTGACATGTCTTTATTGAATTGCCTTGTTCTGCCTACAGAAGAGCGAATATGATAGGCATGCAATGTCTACTTTCAGTACTTAGAACAGGTGTATAATTATAAAGTCGTAAGTGAAAAAATTCCGCTCCTTCAATTTAAAACAGCAGTCAGTTTAAAGTAACCCTTTATTTGCCTGTCATCATATTTGTAGTGGGGTCACTGACACCAGAACGGGCTGGCTTTCTCTATCATGGCCTTGCATCGAGCCAGTGCACTTTAAACAAAAAGATGGGTACAACTGCGGAATTCTCATTTGTCTCGTAAGTAGCCAACTCGCTATGCACCCACTCGCGACATTTGTTTTAAGTTTATTACAGAAGTCACTATCCTCATTAAATTATGAGGTATCAAGGTACGAAATCTTTACCCTCACAAGATAACGAGCAATACCGTTCGATAGGCTAGCCGCTGGAAGAAGTGCATATGATTAAATATACCTCAACAACCGATAGTTTCTGCCTTAAAATGAATTTATGGGAATATTGCATATTCTTCACGAATTTTCCCTAATGATTGATTGTCATTTTTGATCGTTTCTTTCAGTTTGCAAGGTGTTTGTGTGAAGGCTCTTCTGTAGATGCAAATTTCGACGTAGCAACCGAACGTGCACGAATAACGTCTATGATATTTGGCTGTTGTTACGATGACATCCTCGAGTAAGTAACCTCAGTCGCAGCTTGTTTCCAAACTGTATATCCCTTAATCTTGCTAAGCATCAGGTTTGATCTTGATATAGAGTTAGAGTCAAACCTGAGCCAATGAAAAAAGAAGACATAATTAAATAAATGATCATGAAATATATGTTCCGTCCGCTGTAGGAGAAATATCAACGTCTGCAAAGTGTGTCGAGACAGCGATGGAGAAGATGCAGAGATGCGGAAGAGATGCGGCAGTTGTAAACAGCTTTTCCATGCAAGTTGTATCAAAGTGGATTCAAAGACTCTCTCAGGCTACTTTGTCTGCCCCTGTTAATTTCACAACATTGTTGCGGATAAGTTACGTAAATCGACAGTGGAGAAGATTCTCCCCAGTGTTGGGCCTCAGGCAAGGGCTAATGAGATCATTGGCATAAATGAAATCCGGAATTTCATTCGTTTTACTCTTTGTTGTTCTGTGATTGATCAAGAAGACCCGTGCCATTTTCTCCACCAATCAGTCGAATGCAAACCCGAAACCAATCACGACTTGGTCACACGCGTTTTCCCGCGCTTCAAGCCGTTTGGCTATTCTTACTTTGAGTTCTCATTGGCTCCTTGTATTTTTTTACCTAAGTAAAAAACACGACACTCAATTGAAAGGCGCTCTACTTGTACGAGGAAAAATTAATTAATAACGGTGTTACAAACAATTAATTGTTGAATTAAATGTAACACTCACTACAAACAGATTTAAAAAATCGAAAACATATATTGCAATTTTAGAAATATTTTTAATAGATTTTGACATTAAAACTACTTTCTTTTGTTACAAATAAGTACCTAGAATGTCAAGAGAAACAAAAATCTCTAAAAAAATTACATAGATTAGATTAAATAAAAAATGGCTACGTTATGTCAAAGACATTAAATGTTTTTTATCCGTCTGATGTTGATTTTGATACGCTTTCTTGATCTTGATTGGTCAGTCTGTGCAGTGAAACTCTGCTTGCTTCTGCGTCGATCAGTTCAAAGCTTCAATTTTCCCCCATGGACAGCCCCGCGGACATTTAAACCTTTGAAGATTGGCTTGTTCAAAGCTGTATTTAAATGTCCTGTTCCAGCACAATTTTTTATTGCACGATCCTTCGTGTGATCAACGAACGTTGTAGAATTCAGGAAAGTCACGTACTATTTTGTAGTGCCGCTGTTTGGTTTTTCCGTTTGTAAGCATCATTCGACGATTTGAAAATTTCTTCTAAGCCATTTACTCACGAAAGCGGATTCTTTACCTTGATACTCCACCAGTATTAAAATTAACACCAGAATATTCGGCTGGTTCAAATTTGGCACCTTACCCAAACGAGGCTCAAATTCCCCACCCCTGGTGGTACAGATGCCTGTGGGGTTGCCAGGGAGAAGGACTGTGGAAGCTTCAAATTGATCGACGCTTAAATCTGTGTTGTTAACGAGACAAAGGAGTTACAAAAGAAAGTTTTCAACGTCATGTTGAAGCCCTATTTGACACCAGATTCATTTTACGCGTCTTCATCAAGTTTCAGAAGCCATCCGGGTTTCTATTTTTATCTGCAAAAAGTGGTTCCGGCCTTTTCTTCAGGTCACACATTTTTCACTGAGGCGCCACGCTACAGACTCTAGTTAAAATACGGGGCTGTCTCGTGTGAAGTCGCGAATCGCTGTCAAAGCTTTAAAGCGCATGCGTTTGTTGAAGGTTTCAAGTGAATAGCAAGTGAGAACATTCTTTGAAAGGGCTGACAAATTTCACATGCTTTTCAATCGCTTTTGGCCTGTATTTTACACGGCAATTTAGATATCAATATGAGAGTTTCACGTAAAATAGACTGCCTAGCCAGATTTAACTATTACGAACGCCTAAGCCCAAGAGATTATCGTCCAGTCAGCTGAATAGTGTCTTCCGTTTTAAATTTGGGCATTTGTACTTTGGAGGCAGAACATGAGTTAAAGCTACGAAAACGTTTGCCATATATGATCCTTTAATTTT